GGACTGGTTGGACCGAAGGGTCTGTTTCTACGCTGTATGACTCTATAGGGGCCAAAAGCAGGTATGTGGAGTCGGGCCATTCTGGCAGAATAGGCTTGAGGAGTTGAATGGTCTACTCCTATTCCTATGTTCCAGTGCATAGGCAGACATTGTAAATAAAATTGAGTTGCCACAGAAGTAAAGAGCAACCTGACAAAAGTAACAATAGTAGTCCATCAGTTCCAGTTTGGATATTTGCGTGTTCACGGCAGCTGTGTGTGGGTGAAGCATAGGCTAGCTAGTCAGTGAAAGAAAGAACTGCACTTTCAAAATGACTGTAGATTACATAATCCTTCATAATTAATCGCGAGTGTAAGCAGGGACAATTGGTATGTGGAGGGTGTGGTTAGAGCAAGTTTTTGGTGTAAATTCGTAATTGGGGAATACTGGGCTCAGAATTACACACTCAGTCTGATTTCAGTAAGAAACATTCTGTAATGGGAACTCATTATGAATGACTTGGGGGATAGGAATTTTATCCCTTGTGGTTGTGTGAGTGTGTAGGATGAAGAATTTCATTAGCCAGAGAACTCGAACTGCTGCAGTCAATGAGCAACAATAACTTAGATTCATATAGCAGCCTTAGTGCAGTCAAACATCCCACCCCACTTCACAGAAACATTACCAAACAACATTTGAAATGAATGGGACAGAGGGATATGGGCCAAATGCAGGCAAGTGGGACTAGTTTTGTTTGGGAAACTTGGTCAGCATGGAAAAGTTGGGCTGAAGGTTCTGTTTCTGTGCTGTATGACTGTATTAAAACAGAAGACCGAGGCTTGGCTCCAAAGGATTGTTTAAGATGAGGATCAGGGTTTAAGGAGGGAATTCCAGAACTAAATGAAGGATGGGAACAGACAAATTTACAGCACTGAAGGAGGCTATTTGGTCTAAGGTGTCTGCACTAGTTCAAGAAGAGGTAGCTGTCCAGTTTAAAAACTAATTAGTTTTAGAATTAGAATTGGCTTTATTGTCACATGTACTCAAATGAGTACAATGTAAAGTTTATAAGTTGCCATGTAGGGTGTCATCATAGGTACAAAGGTACAGCTTCTTCAGTTACAAGCTCTTAGAAAATCGAGAAATAAAAAGTCCAGCATTGCAGAACAATGGTCTTCATCAACAGACGTAAGACCAACTTCTTCCCCGCTCCTATCAGACTTCTCCTATATTGGAGTTGGGCAAAGTTAGAAGTTACACAACACCAGATTGTAGTCCAAAAGGTTTATTTGAAATCATAAGCTTTTAGAGTGCTGCTCCTTCGTCAGGCTCAAAAGCTTGTGATTTCAAATGAACCTGTTGGACAATAACCTGGTGTCATGTGACTTCTGACTTTCTTCTCCCCAGTCCAACACCAGCACCTCCACATCATATCATAGAATCCCTACAGTGTGGAAACAGGCCTTTCGGCCCAACAAGTCCACACCGAACCTCAGAGCATCCCACCCAGACCCAGTCCCCTAGTGACCCACCTAATATACGCCCTCTACCTCCCTGAACACTACCGGCAATTTAGCATGACCAATCCACCCTACTCTGCACATCTTTGGACTGTGGGAGGAAACCGAGAGCACCTAGAGGAAACCCACGCAGGACACGGGGAGAATGCGCAAACTCCACACAGACAGTTGCCCGAGGCTGGAATTGAACCCGGGTCCCTGGTGCTGTGAGGCAGCAGTGCTAACCACTGTGTCCCCATATCAGAGTTGATCTTCCTCTCTGCAGCTGTAACACTACGTTCTGCATTCTGTTCCATTGCCCTGATGTACTTATGTAAGGTATGATTTGCCTGGATAGCACGCAAAACAATACTTTTCCACTGTATCTCGGTACATGTGACCATAATAAATCATATCAAAATGCCACTCTCCCGTTCTTGAACTGCAGCCTGTAGCTACCTGCACCTCAATCTATCTGGATAAGTATATGAATAGGAAGGGTTTAGAGGGATATAGGCCAAATGCTGGCAAATGGCACTACATTAATTTAGGATACCTGGTCAGCATGGACGAGTTGGACCGAAGGGTCTGTTTCCGTGCTGTACATCTCTGTGACTTTAAGTGCATACCTAGGCACTAACCAAGAGCAAACCATCTACTGCATTGACGCAGCCCTCGGTGTAACATGTATTTCGACACAAAAATAAGTCAAATCCGCTCAGGTGTAGTGAAGGATTTTCTTCAAATATCTCTCAACCTGGGAACAATTCGTTCAGCGCTTTGCAAGCAAACCGCCTTCCCAGTTTGGAATGCAACGAGTCGTTGTAGTTTGTATTGGGCCAGTCGTGGTTAAAGAAAACAACAAAAAAAAATCATTTAATGAATGAATAGGCCGCCTCGTTTAGAGCCAAGTTGCACTGAGAGAAAACTTCGAATGACTTTTCCCTTTCTGCGAATTCTCCTTCTCCTAATTCGCTGTTCTCTCTCTCTCTCTCTGTGCCCTATGGAAAAGACACTAACAAAACAGTGTGGCCAATTGGAAGTTGTTGAACTAAACCTGGGGCCAATCTCATTTGCTGGAAAGAGTGTAGTTTCGGATGATTTGCTATGCCAGCTATGATTTGCTGAGGGTTTTTTTTTCCCTCTCTCTCTTTGGTGTCAGTGTCAATGTATTCGAAAGAATTCCATTTCTCTCTCTCCTTGCACATCGTCACAAGTAAAAAGGAGGGTGGGGGAGGAGGAGAAATCGAGTGGAACTTCCTCGGACCTTTTAAAAAAAAGTCTCATCTCTTCCACCCCCCCCCCCCCCCCAACCCCCCCCCCTTTTTTTTTTCTTTAAAAAAAATGTCGAGTGAAGAAGTCATGTAATCAGTGCCCGCAGAGAACAAGAGAGAGGGAGCAGCTTTCTGTTTCACGGACAGTTAGTTTCACTGGGTTCTACGGAGATCAGGCGGCTTGATAGATGCAGCATCCATACAAGCTGTGAGAGGACTTGGAAACTCTAAAGCACACACACACACACACACACACTGGCTACAGAAGGGGGGAAGGAGGAGGTGAACAATTGGGAAAGAGAGAGAGAAAACAAAAAAAAGAAATTCATGTCATTTGGAGATGGGGCAACAGGACATCAGAAAGTGGCAGCTGGGAGCCCAAGTGATTTTATTCGTGGCAATGCTGACCATTGTCAAAACAGGTAAGTGGACATCTTTAAATGCACTGTCTCAGCTCCTCCAGGAACACACTTTCCTCGTGCACTGGTTTCGTGATTATTAATTTTTAAAATGTACTTTTAGTTTCCAGAACAGACCTCATGGTGAAAGCATTATTACTGGAAATAAGGTGGTTATGACAGTGTTGCATACAGTGAGAAGGGCAGGATTTCTCTATTCCCACTTTCACCCCCCCCCCCCAATCTTTTTAATTTCTTTCCCCCCTAGTGTTCCACTCTCGGGATTTAAACAAAAAGACTGCAACAGTTCTGCTTCCCGAAAGACTTAGATGCCTGAGCAAGTTTTACCAAAACAGTGCAGCCCCTCGTGTTTTGCTGTGTTTTCTCTGACCGCCAGTAACTGCAGGGATAGGGCTGTTTCAATCATAGTCCCAATGAGAAGTGACAGTTAACTGGATTTTTTTTTTCTCTGTGGATGCTTGATCTATTGTCCTGTCGCGGGGAGGTAGAAACACAGGCATTGTATTTTACATTGTCATTAACAGCATCCTTTGTCAAGCTCTCTCTCTCTGTTCTGTTCTAACATCTTCCTTGATTTCATCTCCTCTCAGCCCTGTATCTGAACGTGAACTGTACAGTAACACTTCAGAGTGACTAGGGCTGCAAGTGCTTTTATGGATGCAGCTATTTTCTCTTAAATGGGCAATTTGTTCTTAAAGAGGTAATGGCACAGTTTAAAACAAACCCCACGTTATGCAACAGTTTGATCAAAGGTTATGCCTATGGTTACTGATTTAGAGGTGTTTAGCCTAGGCTTGGATGGTAATGCTGAGACCCAGTGGCGAATCAATGTGGTGGGCCCCACCCATTGACCTCATTCCGAATTGGAGCTGGAAAAGTGGGAAGCTCTTCTTGTACAGTTGCAGATGGGGTTTGGCATGGTGTCAGTTGTTCCTGTAGGTTTTGTAACTGCAGGAAGACTGAGTTAATGGGATTTCCCTTTCGAGAGTACGGTGCTTTGTTCCTCAGAGCCTGCTAGACTGAGCTGGACTCACTGCCACCTGCAGTACCTCTTAGCAATGGGAGCCAAGAGAGAGAAAATGATGCGGGGATGGGTTTGAGGAGCAGTGTTGGAGGTAGCACATTTCTGTTTGGATAGCTAATGGCTCAGCCAGTGTCTGATTCAAATGTTGGATCAAACTTAAAGAGACTGAATAGCCTGCTGTGGTTGTTGTGGTTTTTCTTGATCTGTCTGCCCATCAGTTTGAGGTGTGCAGCCCAGGCTTATGTTGTAAAATGAGCGAGGGGCTTTCTGAAATCCTGTGTATGATTCAGAAGCCAGGACATGTTGGGGCTGAATGATCTGTTATGTTGTGGTTGCAGGCAATATATGTAGTACCTTTATGGTAAAAGCTGCACGTTTGTCATTAGTCTGTGCTGCGTGAAAGACATTGTACAGGGGTGAACATCGCAGAGTGTAGGTCTGTACATGGTCTAGCTCAGTTGCCGGGGTTCAGAGAGCGCACTTTGGCAGAATTGTAGCTTGGCGTGGAACACCAACTTCTTTTTCTAAATTAAAACAAATCTGGCTTTTTCTTTTCCGGCTGCAGTTTTCCCACTGAACGTCCCTGCAGAGGTCCAGACAAGGGTTTCTGTTTCGGCGGCCTCCCACACAGTTTCCATTGGAATGTGGTGAGGTCACAGATGCTGTCATGGTCATTGTCCCTCCTGGTTAGCAGCCTCGCGATGTCGGAGCTGCCTGCTGTGTGAAGGAGTTGCTAACATGGGCTGTCAGGTTGCTATTTTGTCTAAATCCAGGCCACTAGGTGCCCACTCCATGCCCACTCTTGCTGTCTTATCCTCGAGACAAAACGATTTTGAAATTTGCCAAGCGCGGGCAATCTGAAGAAACCACCGATGAGCAGAATGGGATCGCAGGGAGGTGAACTGCTCCCCCCTGCTCCCTTGAAGGCAGTACTTGAGTGAGGAGGTGGAGGTCAGCGCCTCTGGTGATCTTTGAAGTTTATCGTTGTGTGACTGCAGGCAGTTACATAAAACAGCACTCGAAATGGTGAACAGGAACATACTCAAACACTGAGCCCTTTCTGGAGATAATAGGACAGGTGACCAATCATGGAAATTGGGACTAGTGTAGATTTAGTGCAGGTTTGGCAGTACTGACTGGTGGGGCCGAAGAGCCTCCCTGCACTATAAGATTCTGTAATTTTATAGTTGGAGAACTTGGAATGTCACAGTTGATGGAATGTCTTAAGCGAGCAGAGAAAGAGAGAGGTTTAGGGAAGGAATTCCCTGAAGTCCCCTTCAGTCCAACTCTTTTTTTTATATCGAATCCCTACTTTGGATACAGGCAGGTGAAAAAGCAAGGTCACCAGTGGTGGAATGATGGAAATCAAGGATGAGCAGGAGGCCGGGATTAGCGGAGCACAGAGAAGGTTGATAGGATTGAAGGAGGTTACAGAGAGAGAGCAGGCATTGGATGCCATGATGTGAGATTTCAGTTCGGGTATCGCTGCACTGGGGAGACAGCATAAACCGAGAGGTCCACCGTTATAATCAGAGAGGGGACGTGCCTGATATCATTGCCTTGGCTGTCATTTGTCAGTACAAGTATTAATCTTCAACAGAGCACAGAATAAAATCTGATAGCGAGTGGCGTGATCTGTCAGCAGATCCACTCTGTACCTTGCTCTTGGCTCCAGCTCAGCCTATGGCAGCCTTGAATCAAGCCAGAAGGTTGTGAGCTGTAAAACCACACCAGAGACTCGGATACAACATCCACACTGCCACTTCACTGGTTTGATAGAGTGAGGGAATGCTGCCCTGTCGGAGATGCTTCTTGTTTTTGCCCAAGGCACTGAGCTGAAGCCTATTGGGTGGATAAAAAAGATTTAGTGGCATCACTTTGGGGAAGAGTAGGGGAGATTTTCCTTGCAGATCTTTACTTATAGAGTCATAGAGTTGTTCAGCATGGAAATAAACCCTTCAGTCCAACTGTTTTTTTTAATAGAATCCCTACAGTGTGGAGACAGTCCCTTCGGCCCAACAAGTCCACACCGACCTTCAGAGCATCCCACCCAGACCCATCCCCCTTATAACCCACCTAATCTACTTCTTCCACGCCAACCAGATACCCTACATTATTGTGGTCCCTTTTGCCAGCAGAGGAATATAGGATAGGGACTCCGTTGCAAAAATAGGTGATCAGGTCATTTTGTTTCTGGAATCTTGCCCTGCACACATGTAATTGCTCTGAAGGGGTTAATGTTCAGGTTATAATGGCTCCACCCTTTCTACAGATGTCATATAGTCTGAGATTGGAGACAGGGGTTTCTAGTTCCAGTCTAAGGAGGAAGCAGAAAGATCTGGACCAACTCCTTAAGATCCTAGTCATTACCTCTGACCCAATGTATTTGTACTTATTGCGGCCGTGCAATAAACCTTTCTACCTAAGAAGATTGCCTGTTCTACAGATATGCTGTGTTGTTTATCCTCCACCATTAGATAGGTCCAAATTAAAGGAGGTTTGGTGGCAGTGAACTATGTCAAACAGCCCTTACCCAGTACCCCATGTTGTTAAAAGTGGCAAATGCCTCAAGGTGCCAGCAGTGGTCATAGAGGTCTACATCATGAAAACGGGCCCTTCGGCCCAACTTGCCCATTGATGCCCAATTTTCACAATTAAACTAGTCCCATTTGCCTGTGTTTGGTCCATATCCCACCATTCTTATTCCATCCATGTACCTTTCTAAATGTTTCTTAAATGACAGAATTGTACTCGCTTCCACCACGCTCTCTGGCAGCCTGTTCCAGACACCACCCTCTGTGTGAAAAAAAAAATTGCACCTCTGGACCCTTTTGCATCTCTTCCCTCTCACCTTAAATCTATGCCTTCTAGTTTTAGACACTCTGCCCTGGGGAAAAGCTGTTGGCTATGTACCTTATCTATGATTCTCATAATTTTATAGACCTCTATAAGGGTCACCCCTCAGTCTCCTACACTCCAGGGAGAAAAGTCCCAGCCTATCCAACCTCTCCTTATAACTCAAACCTTCCAGTCCAGGTAGCATCCTAGTAAATCTTTTCTGCATTCTTTCTAGTTTAATAATATCCTTTCTATAGTAGGGCGACCCCCAGAACTGCACACAGCACACCACATGTGGCCTCACCATCTTGTACAGCTGCAACAAGATGTCCCAATGCTTATATTCAATGCTCTGACTGATGAAAGCTAGCATGTCAAAAGCCTTATTCACCGCCCTGTCTACCTGTGACTCCACTTTCGAGGAGCTATGAGCCTGTACCCCTAGATCTCTTTGTTCTATAACACTCCCCAGGGTCCTACCGTTGACTGTGTAAATACTAGGTGAAATACCACGGTAGACAAACAGGAGGCTGGAAGAACACAGCAGGCCAGGCAGCATCTGGAGAAAAGGAGCAGACAACGTTTTGGGTATTACCCTTCTTCAGGACTGGATGTGGGGGCAGGGGGAGCTGCAGATTAAGTTGGGGGAGGGATGAAGGGGGTAACAGAATGGTGGTGATAGGTGGGCACCAGTAGTAGGTATGACCTGGTTGGTCGATGGGAGGGATAAATCCAGTTGGTAGCTGGAAGGGAGGGTCAGTAGGAGGAATGGAATCCTCCCAAGCATCCCCAATGTCCACTTTTTCAAACGACGTTCTTTTGCTCCCCTCTGTCATCCAAACAGCCCTCTACCACGCCTCCTACATTCTCTGCGCCACAGCTCTAAACCACCAACCGCGCCCCCCCCCCCCCCCCCAATAAAGATCGGGTACACCTTGTTCTCACTTTCCACCCCGCCAGCCCCTGCATCCAACATATCAACCTCAAACACTTCCACCAACTCCAATTAGACCCCACCACCCGGAACATCTTCCACTCCCCACCCCTCTCTGCTTTCCGCAAGGACCATTCCCTTCACCATTCCTTAGTTTACTCCACACTCCTCACCAACCATGCCAACCTGCCCAGTACCTGCCCCTGT